TATTGTATGTAATGTTTACAACATGAGCGGCCGTGTTGTATCAGATATACAAACTCGAGCCGAAGGCGAGAGTTTGTATATCTGATACAACACGGACGCGAATGTTGTAAACAACTTAAAAAACGACTCATCTTATGAGTTCATTGGCGAAGTAATTTTAAAAATAAACGTTGTCTATGCCGAGAAAATCAAAGTTAAAGTTTATGTAAATCAACATGAATCTGTATCACATATACAGATACGACACGCTTATGATTTTTCTTTGTGTTTTCTTCATGAATTATTAATGAGTTTTTTAAGTAATATATGAACAACGAGAGCGAGTGTTTCACCGGGATATCCAAACACGAGAAAACAATGTATGAGAACACGAGCGCGAAGCGCGAGTGTTTTCATACATTGTTTTCGAGTGTTTGGATATCCCGGTGAGACACGAGCTCGAGTTGTTTATATGGCTCCTCAAATGAATCGAGACGTAACAGAATGTTTTCGTTTGCTGATTTGAATAGAATTCTTAACCAAGCATAACGTAATTAGGAATTCTATTCAAGTAATTTTGCATGCGTAATTAAGATATTTGATGAAAACACTAGTGACTTTCATCAAGTATCCAAATGGCATCTTGTGATCAAATAGGTGATTATCATTGGCTGAATAACTCATGAATTATTAATGAGTTTGAGAATGATATATAAACTACATTATACCTGTGTGTCCCAAAAAATTTATAACGCTGTTTGATTAAAAAAAACTAGCATTTTTGACAATGCCAAAATTATCACTTACTAATGTTCTGAAGGATAGAGCTCGATAGCTTTAAAATGGTCAATGCAGACATAATACGTCTTCTTTTCTCTTTAAACACAATAAAATGTTAAAATGTATGTAACTTAATAAGCATCAGCCGAAAATATTTAAAAACGTAAAATACGGTAGTATAACATATACATTTGGCTGAAAATCCAGCCTCTTAATAGGTTTTACGCCATATTGAAATGAGTTACTACTTCATATAATCTAACACAAAAGAGTTCATACATATAGTCACGCACTCCATATGTCTATCCACAAAAAGCCTTTAGTATTCAAACGCTGGATTGGGAATACGAAAATTGTTTCATTCCCGTTTTTGAATTCATCTACGTCTGGCAGCTATTTAGTCTGTTCGCGGGTGCGATGTTTTCTACTAACAGGTACTTTGCCTTTGCTCATCCTCGCAGTTTCACAAATGGGTCTTACTCCAATATTTCGTTCTGTCGATCGTTCTTCCTCCTTTCTAAACAAGTTTATGTGCTCTTTTTCTCTTGTTTTTTTTTTATGTTTTTCCAACGTAAACGCTCTCACATCCAACACACTTGATATCTCATATGTGACACCATGCCCATGCACCACAAGGCAATACCCGTTTCTTTGCAATACCCGTTTCAACCCAGTACCAGCCTTCTCCACACCACTTTAATCTTAAATCCTTGTCTTCGGATCAACATGAGATTAAAGGAGGAGCACCAATAACACCCCCTTTTGTGCCAGTCTTTTTCCTTTCTACTTTCTCCTGTACCCGTTCTTCTTTCCTCCATTTTTGGAGCGATACATTGGTCGTGCTCCTTTTTGTCGCGCTTCTTCTCGTGCTCTATATGTCTTTAGGG